GGTGAGGGGCTGAGGGCTGTTTGCAGGCTGGCCAGGCCCCCCAGCGGGGACTCTTACTTCATGGGGTGTGGCCAGCCTGGATAAGGGGCTGAGGGCCGTTTTCAGGCTGGCCACGCCCTCCCCCTTCCCCCCCACCTCCTGCGACCCAGGCCCTCAGCCCCTCCTTGAACGGCGGCCAGGGCGGACTGGAAGCTTGGCTTCCTCCATCACCAGGGACAACCCAAGCCTCCAGCTTCGTGGCTTCTGCCATCTTTGTTGGGTTAATTTGCATACTCGCCCTGATTGGCTGGTGGGCATAGTGGTGCCTGCGCACGCACTCCAGCCAGGCGGGAGCTTCCCTGGTGTCTGCTCACGCCGCACTGCCCCGCCCCCAGCTCCCTGGCGTCTGCGCATGCAAGTGGCCACCGTTGCCATGCAGCCCCTGGACCAGAAGCGAAAACCAAGAGCGTGGGGAGCACTGGGAATTCTGGGAATCATAGTTCTGGTGGCAGCACAAAAACCCTAGAGTACGGGGAGCACCAGGAATGCTGGGAATCGTAGTTCTGGTGGCAGACACGTTGTGGGATCTCCTAGACCAGTGGTTCTCAACCTGTGGGTCGCGACCCCTTCGGCAGTCGAACGACCCTTTCACAGGGGTCGCCTAAGACCATCCTGCATATCAGATATTTACATTACGATTCATAACAGTAGCAACATTACAGTTATGAAGTAGCAACGAAAATAATTTTATGGTTGGGTCACAACATGAGGAACTGTATTTAAAGGGCCAGAAGGTTGAGAACCACTGAAGAGTATACCTTGACTTTCTCTACCAATTGACCCCAAGCCAGCACACATGCAAACACTCTATGTCAATTGGTCCTCCGGGAAGGAGAGACCAAAATGAAACCAGAATAGATGTATTGAGTGAAAGATGGGCGATGAAGGAGGGAAAAGCATTCTCATACAGGTCTGAAACCTAGACGAGGAGCAGTGCAGCTCTGAGACATCTGGACCAGCCAATGGAGAGCCACAGAGCAAAGGGAATCCGACAGAAATGGTGGATTGGAGAGGGCTTCCCTGAGGGCTCCCAGTTTGGAGAGGGTGCAGGTTGGGCTGAGGGACCCAACCCCTGTGCACGAATCTTTGTGCACCAGGCCCCTAGTTCATTTAGAAAGGAGATTGTTGGCTACATCAAAAAAAGATTTAACCAAATCACTTAATTTTTTTTTTCTTTTTGTTTTTCAAATCACATTTTTAACTTTGTGGATTTTTTTCCTTCCCCCAAAAAGGAAATATGAACCTTTAAAATAAGCAATTGTTAATGTAGAAATTATCAAATCAATATAATGTTCTTGTGTCACCTCTCTGGCCATTGCATGGGAAATTTCTGCAGATAAAATTATTGTACTGAAGGAATTTAGCATGTACTTATCAGACTCTGATAAATTGAATTTAAATAGGCAGGTGTTCTGGGTAATTTAAGTCAAAGCAAACAGTTTTTTAAAAAATATATTTTATTGATTTTTTTACAGAGAGGAAGGGAGAGAGAGAGAGTTAGAAACATTGATGAGCGAGAATCATCAATCAGCTGCCTCCTGCACACCTCCTGCTGGGGATGTGCCTGCAACCAAGGTACATGCCCTTGACCGGAACCGAACCTGGGACCCTTCAGTCCGCAGGCCGATGCTCTATCCATTGAGCCAAAGCAGTTAGGGCGCAAACAGGTTTTTTTTTAAATTGGGTGTTCATTTTGGAATAAGGTCAGTTTTGCTTAGTTGAGGGCATTAATCTGAACAATAACAGGATAAGTGGCATCTTGATGAGATGTCTGGAGGAAATAAAAGCTGCACATTATAGTATGCTAGTAGTTGCCACTTATATAAACTTACAATTAACAGCATGATAGAATTATTGTTAGAAAACCTAAATTTACACTTCAAAATTCTGTTCAGAACCTCTTTTTTGATGCGTGACCTTAGACAAGCTACAACTTTTCATATTTTTCCCAGCTTTTTTCTTGTTTTTGTTTTATGTGAATACTAGTAATAGTATCTGCCTTACCAAGATTTATTGATTCAACAAACATTAATTGCATTTTTATTTATTTATTTTATTAGGGGCTAGGCACTGTTAGGTGCTGAGGGTAAAAAACATGGACCACTGGGCTTGTCCTGAACTCTCAGTCTGACAGAGAGAATGCGTGTTAAACAACTAACTATAATGAATGGATAATAGTGACATAAAAGCAGTATGAGAGTGAAAAGAATGGAAGTGTCAAGTTAGTGAGTTCTTGACTGTGATGCTCAGGACAGTCTAGGTAGCAGGGGTTATGAGAGTGAGGGCACAGAGCAGTGGTTCCCAAGCTGGGGCTTCTGGACCCCTATGGATCTGCCAAAGTAAAAACGGGGATCTGTGAGAGATCAGTATTTTTAAAATAACCTGATGGAAATTGGACATTCATCGAGAAGACTAATTAAAGTCAAGTTTCCACAAATTTGGTAGTCAAAAAATAGTCATGGGGATGTAAAGTATAGCATAGAGAATATACTCAATAATCTATCCTATCTAATAAAGAGGGAATATGCTAATTGACCCTCACACCATCGCAAAGATGGTGGTGCCTACAGCCAATAAGGAGGGAATATGCTAATTGACTGTCACACCCTCAAATATGGTGGTGCCCATAGCCAATAAGGAGG